TATTGAAAAGCAAGTCTGAACATCTTGAACAAACTGGGGTATTATGATTGATGGGAACAAGCAGGTGAAGTTTCAGCTTCATCAGTGCAGCGATTTCTGAGCAACATATACCGGTAGTCACAGCCAAAAGAAACAAAATACCAAACATGGTTAATATATGAAGAATTTCTCATATTTAAGAGAAATTGATTGGTTCGATGCACAAACGACCATACTGTAATGCTGCATGAACCAATGCTCACATGTGACGGCTTAGATCCAGGACTCAAGATGCACCATTTGTCTTTGTCATTAGCGTGTAAAGTTTGGAAATCATGTGCAGCATATCATGATAAGAATAAAGACACTGTGGTAACACTTGACTGATTGTTTGTTTTGTCATCAAGTGGTACACATTGGAAACATCAGTCCTCAACATACATACTGCTCTATATGTTTCTATGGCTCATGTTTCACTTGGCGGTGAGTATATGTCTACGATGGACACTAGACATACATGCCAGAAGCATAAGCCTCTCAGTCACGATACCTGGTTACCATATTTACTGGGGGCAACACCTGTTATGTTGAAGATTTCAGAAGCCACATGTCAACTTCTGAATAATCAATTACCGTATCCGACGTAATAAGCGCCCCGCTCTAATAAGCGCCCGAGGCGATATTTGTTAATATATTGGCTAGTGAACAAACCCAATTAGCACCCTTCCGATTGATCAATGTACACGACTTATTTATTCGTGTATAATACTCACTTGTGTGTTATATGCACCCTTAATTACGGGCAATTAAATTCTGGAAAAATGTATTTTTCATGTATAATACACACAGACTTTTCTTTTGTATCATTTCAGCCTGTCAGCATAAACCACAAACTTTACGATCTTTCAACTCTTTCACCAAAATTATATTCTAATAAAAGCCCCCTAGTTCTAATTTTGAGAGCGCCATGGGCGGTTATTACGTCGAATACGGTACTTTAACACCTTCAGTATGTTTACGATTTATTTTTGTAAGGCTTGAATCATTTTTATTTCAGCAGTTTTTAATGTTTTCAGCATGCTAAATGAAATCTCATGAGGCTACAACATGGATCATTAAATAAGCTTCATGCACGAAATTTCGAGATAGAGTTCTCAGGTTTTTGCATTCATGATATTTATAGCGGCAGTAATTTTTGTGTAGTTTATAACAATACGGGGGGATCGCCATACGATATATATCCCGATAATATGAGTGCAATACAATTCGTATCCCGTTTCAGTACTTCTATTTCATAAGTTGATATTCTTTTTGCTGTAGATGAATCACAATTCTTAATCATTTGGTTTAAAACTTAAAAAATCAAAGATGGGATCTTAAAAGACAGAAAAATATAGGCTCAAGGGCACTGTGAAATTTGTGGCACTTATTGCCAGAACGCGAAATACTACAGAATCTGTTTTGTTTAACATTTCAAAACTGTTATTATTCTCGTCTTAACACCAAAATAACTTGTAATATACTGTATGAATCGCAATAGAGGCTTTAATGGATGTCAGCTTTTGAAAGATGGCTGATTGTGTTTGGATTTAGTTAATAATAATAAGAATATTAACTTTCAACATGTTTAAATCGCATATTAAAATAAAATGAGAGTAAATTATTCTAAATTATGTCTTATCAAAATAAAATGAAAGTAAACTATTCTCATGAGGTAGTTTACAAATGGTGTTAATCTATTATTGTGAAACAAATATGATTTCTAAGTGTGTCCTTCAAATATAAAACATGTCATTTATAATTTTAACTGTGTGATCACATCCTGACGTAAGTGTAATCCAGGAAATAATTAAGCATCTGATGGATCTCCATCGTGGTATATAATATAGAAGACAAACAAACTTGCTTATGCTGCAAAGTCATGCGTAAACTTGGTCAGTGTTTTCAGACAATAGGTCTTTTTATCCAAATGTGTAAACATGGTAAACATGGTAAACATGGTAAACATGGTAAATATAATGAGATAATGGGTACAGTATTACTCATAGAACTCATTGAAATTAAATTGTAAATTACGTGTTAATGTGAGGAGAGGAGAGGTGAAATGGGGCTTAACGTTCTGTTCAAGATTATTGCACTTATACAGTGATGTGCATTCACGTGTGTGTTGTGGCTGCTTGTACTAGTCCAGACTTCTGCTGGATTATAGCGCTAGCTCACTGAGATACCAAGCCACAGATTAATATGGATACACGTACCACTCGGACACATTATACGGACTCCGAGCCAGGCAGTCCTTGCTTTATAGCTTTAATGGAGAGTGCTAGGTAAGGTAACTTTTAACACCTTTAGGTTCGACCCAGCCAGGGTATCTAACCCACCAACTTTCTGCTCTGGGCAGATGCTCTATCAACTACACTATGGAGGTTTCACGTAAATGTAACTGGTAATATGCTATCTCCTGACGCCTCCTGTTACATCGGAGACATAGGGACCATACATTTATGTTAATACCAGACCCGCCTCTATGTCTTCACTGTAAGTTATGGGTACCATACATTTATGTTAATACCAGACCCGGCCTCTATGTCTTCACTGTAAGTTATGGGTACCATACATTTATGTTAATACCAGAACCGGCCTCTATGTCTTCACTGTAAGTTATGGGGACCATACATTTATGTTAATACCAGAACCGGCCTCTATGTCTTCACTGTAAGTTATGGGGACCATACATTTATGTTAATACCAGAACCGGCCTCTATGTCTTCACTGTAAGTTATGGGGACCATACATTTATGTTAATACCAGAACCGGCCTCTATGTCTTCACTGTAAGTTATGGGGACCATACATTTATGTTAATACCAGAACCGGCCTCTATGTCTTCACCGTAAGTTATGGGGACCATACATTTTTGTTAATACCAGAACCGGCCTCTATGTCTTCACCGTAAGTTATGGGGACCATACATTTATGTTAATACCAGACCCGGCCTCTATGTCTTCACCGTAAGTTATGGGGACCATACATTTTTGTTAATACCAGAACCGGCCTCTATGTCTTCACTGTAAGTTAGGGGTACCATACATTTATGTTAATACCAGAACCGGCCTCTATGTCTTCACCGTCAGTTATGGGGACCATACATTTATGTTAATACCAGAACCGGCCTCTATGTCTTCACTGTAAGCATGGTAAGTTATAGGGACCATACATTTATGTTAATACCAGACCCTGCCTCTATGTCTTCACCGTAAGTTATGGGGACCATACATTTATGTTAATACCAGAACCGGCCTCTATGTCTTCACTGTAAGTTAGGGGTACCATACATTTATGTTAATACCAGAACCGGCCTCTATGTCTTCACCGTCAGTTATGGGGACCATACATTTATGTTAATACCAGAACCGGCCTCTATGTCTTCACTGTAAGCATGGTAAGTTATAGGGACCATACATTTATGTTAATACCAGACCCTGCCTCTATGTCTTCACCGTAAGTTATGGGGACCATACATTTATGTTAATACCAGAACCGGCCTCTATGTCTTCACTGTAAGTTAGGGGTACCATACATTTATGTTAATACCAGAACCGGCCTCTATGTCTTCATCGTCAGTTATGGGGACCATACATTTATGTTAATACCAGACCCTGCCTCTATGTCTTCACCGTCAGTTATGGGGACCATACATTTATGTTAATACCAGAACCGGCCTCTATGTCTTCACCGTCAGTTATGGGGACCATACATTTATCTTAATACCAGACCCGGCCTCTATGTCTTCACTGTAAGTTATGGGGACCATACATTTATCTTAATACCAGACCTGGCCTCTATGTCTTCACTGTAAGTTATGGGGACCATACATTTATGTTAATACCAGACCCTGCCTCTATGTCTTCACCGTCAGTTATGGGGACCATACATTTATACAGAGTATGGACCTAAGCCACGATATCTTCAGTGTAAGTGAGGAGCAATTCATTCACCCGAATTCATCCTCTGTGGGCACCTGTTACAAATCATGTCAGTTTTTGTCAACTGAAGGGAGACAACCCTTTAACTTTCGCCATAACAAGTACTAAGGATGCAATGAATACACTATTAGGCGAATATGATTTGTATCACAAATATAGGGTTATGATTATGAATATTTATTCACGAATACTATAACAAGTCAGCAGTTGATATATTATTTATGATATTCAGGGAAACAATAACAAAATAAATTATTTGACAATTAATTATTAATTTAATATACAGTGATATACCTGATATACTGCACTTATCCAGGTATGAGTATCTGCTCAAATGCGACAGTCTGTGACTAAAATACCGTCAAATTAAATATAAAAAGAGTGTTGTCTTTGAAGAAATCTGTGCATATGTTCTCAAGGATATTTTAAGGGTTAAGGGTCATAAATATTTGATTCTAGTGACCGTGAATAATGAATGGATACGGTTTGATTCACCGTGAATCGTAACAGCCCTCACAAGTACCCATCTGCGTGAAAACAGCTTTACTTAAATATGGCATATATATGCGTGATTTGACTTCTGACTTACATATTTTCACGAGGCCAATGAGCAAAAATCATTGTCTAATTCAACGGACTGTTTTAACATTGACAAGCATGACAAGAACTCATTGTCTTTCCTGCATACTGTTCAGTGTCCACCTGGTGTTTGCTTGTTATATAACGCCACACTCAGCAATATTCCAGCTATATGACATCGGTCTGTAAATAATAAAGTCTGGACCAAACAATCAAGCGATTGACATCATGAGCATCGATCTACACAAATGGAATACGATGACATGCAGCGATGTACCAAGTAAGCGAGCCTGACTACCAAAAGACGTAAATAGATTGTATATACGTCTTTGGAGGACCCAAACCCGTTAGTCGCCTCTTACCACGAGCATGGGTTGCTGAAGACCAATTCTAACCTGGTTCTGCACTGGACAGAGGAAATCACTGTACTTTGAATGGAAGTTGATTGAAGTATTACCTAATAATGCAGCAGCAAGCAGCTTCACTCCCACATCTGGAGGTGTACAGCCAGGGAAAGCTAGTTTGATGATATAAAGGGACGCTGTGTATCCCCCAAGTGCCCATGCCGGTGCCATTATCATCCACAGAAATCCCCACAAGACCACAAACCCCGGCAGAGAACCAAACACTTGCATGACGTAGAAGTACGGCCCGCCAGCCTTTGGCAGTAAAAGCCCGACCTCCGTAAAACAGCCTGACAGGCCAAAGTTTACCAATCCTGACACAACCCACAGAACCAAGGCAAAGCCTGGAGACCCTGCATAATACAGGATAGCAGTGGACGCTATGAATATGCCATTTCCTCCTGTGTTGGCTATCAACATTGTCGTAGCTGAGAACAAACCAATTGATCTTTTGAGTTTCGGCTCTTCCTGGTTTTCTACCGTAACCTTGACAGAAGATTTTCTTCTTTTCACATCACTTTTGTCTGTCATCATTGCATGGTTACTGTCCGGAAAGTCGGTACCGTTAGTTGTTGGTTCTGTCATGGTTAATCTTATACTTCTTCGTTAGATCGGAAACCTGCACATGCCAGTGTTCATACAAGTTCTCGCACTTAGCTACAGCTGTTCCCCGCTAAAAAAAAGTCAGATGGTTGTGAAAACTTCATATATCATTGGCAGCGTTTCGCAGTTTTTAGATTTCACTCCCTAGGGTTTCAATATTGTGGTGGCTGTAAGTGTGATATTGATGTCTCCACATCGCACGATCAGGGAGCCACAGCAAACTGTTTGTAACTGGGTCAATATGCTGTCTATAAATAAAACTGTGCTGCGATTAAGAAGTTGGGCTGTCACATGACCCACCACGATCACGTGATCCCGTGATTTGGCGTACATGGGACCAGTCATTGTGTTGTCAGTACCCAACAGAGCTCGAGCCAAATGTGAGATTAGATTAAACGTAAAATGTCTCCAGGATGAACAACGTCCTGATATGGAATAAGATACGCGGGCTTTCATGTACTGATTTTTACATGGGTTAGCGAGCGTAGATCACATGATACAAAAATAACATTTATTATGTCATATACAGGTAAGAACATTCGTCACCACTCTCCCCTTTCTGTAACTTGCAAGAACTTTCGAAGACTCGTCCCCCTATCGATGAATGTTATGTGCGAAAATTCGACAAACCAATCAGAATGCGCGTGTGATTTCAAGTTCTTCGTCAAAGAATCTCTCAGAAATATTTTTTTGATTTTACATATGTCTTGCATCTAAAGATATACCCAAGACCAAAGACGTCTATATACGTCTTTGCCAAGACACAGTTAAATGTGTTCAATCATACTGTATAATTCCGCAGGTCCCGATGTGCTTTAAATTGCATCTGAAATATATATAATATATGGGGAAATATATGTGAACCATTACTCAACGAGTTGACAATTTTTTTAGGTATGCCCGTTTACGCTCAGACGGCACCCGTTCGCAAAAATGGCTATGAGAGGGGCACGAGTCCCTATTCGGCTTGTCCCGGAATAACACGAGTTGGTCACGAATGAAGTAAGAAAACTTCATGAATAACAACTTCCGGTTTATTGCATTTTGATGTAAATTCTTACACCACTAAAAACTGCTATAAACCGGAAGTTGCTATCCACAAAGTTGTACGTTCTCTTACATTCTCACCAACTTCTAGAATGCTTGGCGGCTGGGTAGCCTCGTGGTTAAAGCGTTCGCTCGTCATGTTGAAGACCCGGGTTCGATTCCCCGGAGAGACGAAACTCCCCGCATGGGCACAATATGTGAAGCCCATTTCTGGTGTGCCCCGCCGAGGTATTGCTGGAATATTGCTAAACGCGGCGTAAAACGACAACTCATTTACTCACTCTAGAATGCCAATCAAACAGTCACCTACAAATAGATTTGGTACTGGCTACTAAATAACGTTATTACCTACACTTACGTTTAGAAGTATTTATTCTAAGATGCTTTGTTAAAAGATCCAAGGTGCCGACTGTGCTTTATCCTGCGATATAAAATAGTATGGGTGGCTATTCGGTCTACAAATATAAAGTTAAAAGGATAAAAGTACGCAATAAAGGTCAAATATAAAGAATACAAAACTAAATGTTACTAATAAAGGTCAAAATATAAAACAAACGGACGCCGGTAAAAAAATACGAAGCTGAAATGAAAGTCAAACAAGTGCGCAAAAATAGTCAAATTATACAAATAAAGTATTAAATGTTTCTAATAAAGGTCAACATACAAAACAAACAGACGCCGGTTAAACAAATACAAGGTTGAAATTAAAGTCAAACATACGCAATATTAATAGTCAAATGTTACGAAAGGACGTCATAAGAAAACAAAGAACAATGTGTACGAAAAAATGTGAGTGAGCACGAAAGGACGTTTACAATAAAGAACGCCAGATGGCCCTGCAATTTGTAAAACTTTCCGAGTTTAATCGGCTTTTTTCGCCGTGTACATTTGATAACTGCATGCCGAAGTTCTCGATGGATTACGTCATTCCCCGTGCACTCACCGTCTGATGTATGCATTGTGTATATGCATGTTGCGTCACCGGTCACGGTCCTTGTCATAAATACAGTATACTGTGTAATCCGACATCTACCTAATATTAGTACATGTACTTAGTATACAACCTTCAATAAACACCCATTTGACGCTAAACTAGGATTAATTTACAATGATACAATTAACTGTTCATGCTTGGTGCAACACGAGGGTGCTATGATGCCGAGATTTGTTTCAGACGCACATTTTCAAAACATCTGAAAAGTGAACGTTGTGCGAGAATTTGTTTTATTTAACAGCTTTTCGGAAACTGTATGGGAATAAAATGCTGCCTAATATCCGAACGACAAAAATAAATACCAAATGGATTTGTATGCATATGTATAACGTTACACATTCGTTAGGAAAAATAGCTTGCCATTAATGAAGAAAATCGATTTCCCTCTATGGCGTCAGTGTTCGTTTTCACACCTGATTCATTTCGCTTGATTACATCTAGGCCATTTTTATTTGTGACAAAGACAATGTGGCATCTCTCATGCCGCGAGATTATCCCAAACATATTCAAACCACTGTGTCCGCAGACACAAAGATGCCGGAGGCTGGCGTTGGTGCCCCGTGAATCTAGGTCAGTGTGATGTATATGCAACAAGTATATGTACACACACCAACATAGGTCTGCCAGTACTCATGGGTCGTTTCTTCTATGTGTATAATGTTTATAATAAGGAAAATGTATATAACTCCACTAATATTTGATAGTTTTACCAATATTTAGTTCCATAAAGGAATATATATCGTGTTATGTAGCATGTTGTGAACAGTACCACTGCATTCCTTGTCCTTGAAAATGTAGGATTCGCCACCGGAATCAAGATCCAAGGTGGCCCAGAACCTGAGCTACTGGTAAAATAACCGTTGGCGGTCATTGTTGCTGTAGGGAAAATATCTGATGGACCAACAGCTTAAATTTCGTCCTCAGGGCATGATCTGCCAGTGTGCCAAAGCTCATTCTTGTGTCATAGTTCCAAAATACGTCATATTTTCTTCTATTTTTCATAAGTAATTTTGACTTTATAAAATAATACTAAACAACATATTTTGTGTATATTACTCAATAATTTGTGTACTAAAAGTCTATCTAAGTCGGCGATGATATACGCCGGTCTTCATTCACAAGTTTTGGTTGATAAGCATTATGTATAAAGCGTTAAGACTACATGCGTGTACCGTCCGAAGTCTACTATCAGTCGGTGTTGATATACCCCTGCATTCATTTCCAAGATTTAGTCTATGAGCGTTATGTGCTAATCGTTAAGACTACAGGTCCGACGAGAGAAATAAACATTAATCAATGATAACGCGCTCCCCGAGAAAACTTATGTAATTTTAGTCACTTCTGCATACTCATGCCCTTCAAAACTGCGAGGTAATCTCAACAATTCAGAAAGTCAGTACATTAGATTAGCAACATTGTGTAGGTATTGTTTAAGTAATAATTGAAAATGCGACCATTTGATGACCTAAGAGCATCGGTGATATAAATAACAGTCTTTATTCGGGGTACCTCACTGATGAGATACACGGAACAAAGACTGGCCACTAATAGATGCTTCTCTTGGTTGTTTAAGGTGTGCGGTCCCACACTAATTCCCCGACAACTAATTCTAGGAAAATGAACTTGCCACTTCGAAGTTATGATTTTGTCTCCGCACAATCGCTTTCCAGTGGTTTACAGTCAATGTCAGTATCACAGCTTTGAAAACTCACTTGTGATGTATGAAATTATTGGCGGTTCTCATAAATATGTTTTTATTCTTCTTGGGTATATTTGCATACAAAGGTTATCACGTGAACTATTTGCTCATATAAATATGTTACCAAGTGTTATGAATGAAATATTGGGAAGTACAGCATTGTTCTCTCACATTTCACGTTTCGAAAACATGTATAACTCCGCCATTATTAAATATGTGGATGGTTTTACTACAATTTAGTTCCTCATAAGCTATATAAAAATTATTTGTTGTTATGTGGTTGCTAGCGTGCTGTGAATAATACCACTGCATTCCTTATCCTTGAAAATGCAGGATCAGCCCCCGGAATCTAGGACCTAGGTTGCATGGAACTTCATGTACAATGTACATGTAATAACAACCTTTACACAACCAGATATGTTTTTTAAAACTAGGAGCCAATTTTTGTTTGTTAGAAATAACATTGTAAGAATGTAATTTTTGTGGCATACATTTTCTTATTTTTCCCTGCAATGTGAAGCGTAATTATATTTTTCAAGAATTTTCGGAAACAATTTTTTTTTTCGATAATATCCCAGACCCAAATGGTCGCCCCCTTACAACTATGTGGTATCGCTAAGATCGTTTTATTAACCCGGTCAGGCGAATTTAATTACACGTGATGTGTAGTTGTGCCGACAGACATATGGTTGTTGACATACTTCTAACAGTTAGTTTCTAGGAGCAGATTTCAACAGATATAACACGACTACTTGATAACAGCTATCCAGGAATTGGAGATTATAATTAAGGCGATGGGTACATTCGTGTGTGTATCTTATGATTTTTCGAATCGCTCTCGCTTTGGCTATACAAATGTTCTGACAATCCCTTCATAATACACATTCACTCATGTGATGCAAAGTACAGGGCAGCATGAACCCGTGAAGATCCGGGTTAGATTAGGTTTTCAGCAACCCAAGCTTGTTCTAAGAGGCGACTATATGTATGCTTGTTCGTCAGAAGCGACAAACGGGATCGTTGGTCAGGCTTTCTGGCACCTGCTACTAGGCCAAGAGTCCACGATGGCATTCGTGGCAAACACCGCCGTCGGACAAAATATGAGCTTCCGATGCCAAATATGGCAAATACAGTTAGAAACTACGCTGCAAATCACATGTTGCAATTATGGATGCCGAACATATCGGCGTAGGCCTAGTAGTCGTTAAGCTGGAACCTTTGGATTCTCCAGTTGAAAAGCCGCGGCATTCGTGACCAACTCGTGTTATTCCGGGACAAGCCGAATAGCTTCTTGCAGGTTACGGAAAGGGGCGAGTGGTGACGAATGAAGCCGCGGAAGACCAGGTTTCAATAAAGAAACAGTTTATCCTGATCATCAACTCAGGCTCCGCTAGACCGCTTACAGGGCGGATTGCTTGAATCAGTGATCATTGTCAGTGTAAATTGTTTTTTCTTTCTTTGTCGTCTATTGATAAATTAGCTGATACGTTTTTATTATTACTTTATTCTTGTTTAATGACACG